CTGGCTGGCGTTTTCATTCTGTCCTTGATCTTGATGTTGCTTTCCTTTGCCAGATGTTACCCGATTTCTTTGTAATATCGTCTTTGCATCTTATTGGAGTGTATTGAAAATGACATTTGCTTTTAGTTTGGCCTTGCGCAACAACCGCCAATTTCGTTCGGTCTGCAACCACCCGATGTGAAACGAGCCCGGTTGACAGCTGGTATGCAAACAACCGCTGGTGCTGTGGCGGATTTCGGAGAACGACTGCCGAAATTTTCGGCCCGAAGCCCGATTAGCCTTCTGGAAGAGGCGCTGAGGAGTTGGGAAGCTGGCGATCGGCAAACGTTAGTGCTGACTGTTTAAGATAATAGAGTATTGTTAGAAATGATAAAGTAAACGAAGTGAACTAAAGGTTTTTGTTGTGGTCTTTTGCAGAGGTTCACAGCGCCTACGAGAATTTTCAATAGAGCATTTGCGAGTGCTTCCAGCGGAATCGCACACTGAATGTGCGAGTTTATTGCTTCGGTTGGCATCGGTCGGTCGGAATAACGAAAATTCGGAAGCGTGTCTGAGATTCACGTTGAATATCTTGCAGTCGACATCATCCATTCATGCAGTCTGGTCGCACATCTATGCGGTCATCATAGGCAAAGATGAGAAAAACGATTCCAAGTAAGTGATAACGATTTTTTTGTTGTTTAACGCTTACGATTAGTTGCCTGCCGTAATATTTCATCGCAGAAATTGTTTGAAAATTGTTCTGAATAATTGAAACTTTTTGCGACGTGAATACAAGATATTGTTTCGATTGTGCAGCATCTTTGTTTTAGTATACTGAAGCGTGTTCAACTTGATACGGCAGTGTTAGCACTTTTCGAAGAGGCAGTTTCGAATTCGGTCGTGTCTGAATCGCAGCTTGAAATCGCACGTCAAGTGGCGTCAAGAAGTCTGCACTCGGATGATTTTGAACGAAGAATCGCTGCGATTCACTTCTATATTGCATACGCAATTAAAGGTGAATGAAATTGAAATTTTTATTTTTTTATTTTGAGAAAAGTTTCGAGCGAATTTTCTGCAAATGAGCTAGTTGCAAAGGTAGGATAGCTTATTACAATTGGTATTAGGGATAATGTTTGGTTATGAAATGATTATTGAAGATTGTTTTATTTGACGATGAGTTGAGGGGAATACGATGAAATTGAGAGAGTTTTTAGATGAAAGTACAAAAAGTGTTGATGAACTGTTGGCACTCGAGAAATTATTGTGTGATTTGTGTGAGGATCGAGATTCGAGAGTTCGTTTCGCGGCCATCAGAGGAATTTCGATGTTATCCGACTCAAGGAAATCACTGAGTTTTTACATTTACTCAGTGGCGAAGATGGTAGGTACTCTTTCTTCTTTCAATCGTTTCTTTTCGATGGTTTTGTTATTATTGTTGTCATTTTCACTGTTTTAAATTTTACTTAGATTTTACACTTTGTTGCAAATAAAGAAAGAGTAACGTCATTTCATATTGTGTTTTGAATTTTTTGTCTGATGGTGAGATTTTTTCAGTTATCAGAGAATACGGAAAAATTCGTACGATTGGAAGCGTTGAAAATTCTGAAGGATTTTGCTGATCGTCAACCAGAAACGTAACGTTTGACAGTGTTTTTAGTTTTCGGAAAATTAGATTTCACTATGATTTTCAACAGAGATTCAGTAATTATTTGGTTAGAATTATTATATGAAGGCGCTTTCAAGGTATTTACTTACAAATTGAAAGTGCTGATGAATTTTGCTTAAAATGCAAAATATTTGATGTGAATAATGCTCTCCCCCAACCATCGCTTAATATTACCTGACTCAAGGAATTCGAAAAAATTTGCTTTCAAATCGGGAAAAACAGAATTTCTTCTCATTAGAATCATCGTTCTGAATGCATTTTGGAGAGAGTGATTCAATTGGTGTTTGCAGTGAAGTGATCGGACGAAACAATGCGAAATTGCGTTTGGTGGATGACGC